AAGTCCCCCCACTGGGCCTCCACACAGCACTGATGGGCAAGGGGGGAGGTAGAGCTTGGGGCCCCCCTCCTCCAGGACCCCCCGGGGCTGGGAAGGAGCCTGGGAGGGAGAAGGCCTGCTCTCCCCTGGGCCACGTTACTGGGGAGGACTTTCTCCTGGCAGAGGGTCAGGTTTGGCTGATTTTCTTCCCCCTCCAAGCCACGCTCTCTCCACGTTTCCCGCCAGGGTTGTCTGGTAGGAATGTCTTCTCCATAACCTTTCCTTTTCTTCCTCCCTGTCTTTCCACCTTCCTTCCTGTTCCAGACGGGTCTCTCTCTGTTGCCCAGGCTGGTCTCCAGACCCTGGGCTCAAGCGATCCTCCTGTCTCAGCCTCCCTAGCTGGGACTACAGGTGTGCCACCATGATGAACTTCCTTTGCAGAGCTGAATAGTATTCCATGATGTGGATGGACACTTGGGCTGCTTCTGTGCCGGCTGTGGTAGACGCATTGCTGTGTGCATGGAGTACAAGCACCCCCCCAGGACCCTGATTTCAGTTTTGGGGGTATATATCTTCAATCGGAGCTGCTGGGTCACATGGGGAGCTGCCAGACTGTCCCCTACAGCAGTGGCCCTGCTTTCCTTTCTTCTCACCTTTTTTGAACTGGGGACTGACCCTGGGCTCTGCCTCTGAGCTGCTCTCAGTCCTTTTCATCTCTCATTCTCCAACCTCCTGCCTCGGCCCCGGGAGCCTCTGGGATGACAGGTGTGTCCCTGTGCTGGGCTCATTTAACATTCTTACCAACTGTGCGCCAGGCCTCTGAGGTCCCCAATTCTCCCCTGCAGCCTGGCGCAGTCATCCCAGTGAGGGGGGGCACCTGCGGCTACAGCTGCTGAGTGTCCCCTCTCTAGCCGGCCACTGTGCCCCTTTGGAGAGGTGTCTCTCCAGGCCTGCGCCTGCTTTGTGAATCAGGCTGCTTCTTGGCTGAGTCTCAGGGGTTCTCTCTTCCTGATAGCAACCCCCTACCACACAGTGACCGGTAAACACTTCCAGATTCTCTTTGGGTCGCCCTTGTACTTTTGATGCCATTCTTTGGTACACAAAGTCTGTGTGCGTGCGAAGCAGGCAAGGAGCCCAGGGCTGTGGGCACTGGCTAGGCACACCCTACTCGGGGTGCCCTGGCTCTGGCTTGGACCTTGGTCTCTCGCGTTTTAATTCTGGTATGTGGTATCAGCCAAGGCCGTTCCGTCCTCTTCCCCCACCCCCAGGACTGTTTAGGCTACTTGGGCCCCTTGAGATTCCCCACGACATTACAAATAAATTCTAAGATTCTGAGAGAAAAACGTCATGGGGTTTTGACCAGGCTGGCCCTGAATCTGCGGATCACCCGGGCCAGTGGTTGTCGGGCCTGATAGAAGGGTCAAGGTTCATTTTTGCCACTTGGATGTCGGTTTCCCAGCACTTTCTATGCCAAAGACTTTTTCTATCACTGGGCAGATTTATTGGCAATGATCCAGCAGTGTGCACGCTGCTCTGCCCAGGATCGTCCCTGGTTTCTGGGCACCAGCCACTCTCCCCATTCCTGCCCCTCAGCACACCGAGAGCAGTGGAGGCCCCCACCCCCGGAACACCACCCTCGTGACCTCAGTGTCCCCCCTGGCTGGTAAGTACCCATGCACATTTCGGCGTCAGTGTTTTCATAATGTATTTGTCTGAGCTGGAAACAGGTCCTGCTGGCCTTGCGGTAGGAGTTGGGAAAGGTCCTCTATTTGCTGAGTCTCATATTGATAGAAGCCTTCCCTTGAATGTCTAGTAAATCGGACCATCTGGTCCCGGAGACCTCTTGGTGGAAACGTTTGTTAATAAAATTGCATTATAAAGGCTGGGGATGTTGTTCAGTGGTAGAGAACTTGTCTAGTCTGTGCAAGGTCCTGGGTTCAATCCATAGCACCAAAAATAAATAATAAAACTAAGGGGTCAGATACTGTGCTCTTCCAATCTTACCCTTTATCTTGACTCACTCCCCGCCCCCGTCCTGGGGCGAGCCCGGGAGTGCTCCACATCCCAGCCCTTCTTACATTTGTGATAAGGTTCCCCAAGTTGCCCAGGCTGGCCTACACCGTGGTCCTCCTGCCCCCCTCTGGAGGCGCTGGGAACACAGGCGGGCCCCCCCCCCCCCCCCCCCGCCAACTGACTTCTTAGGTAACACCAAAGGTCTCCCCACCACCACCACCTTCCTTTCTGTATCTTGGCTAGAAATCACACTGTACCTTGATCTTGTGTGACCAGCCAGGCTTGGACCTTCCCAGACCTGACAAACAAGGCGTCCGACGTCGGGCTCTGAACTCCACCCCCTGGCCCCTGGCTGCAGACGCAGGTGGAGGACCCCTCTGCTGCTGTCCCCAGGATGAGCTGCAGCACCAAGTTGCCCCCAAGCGTGCTGTGGACAGGTCCCCGGTGCCCAGTGCTGCTTGGGCCTCTCAACCAGCCATCTCGGGAGGTTTGGGCAGTCCCTTATGTACAATTCGCTGGTTTTCATCACACTCACAGAGTTGTGCAACCACGGAATAAACTAATGCTCAGCCGTGGCCGCCAGGAAACAGACCTCTCCTGCAGCTTAGGGACGACGCCTTCTGCTGAGTCTATTTTTTGAGAGAAAGTAAAATGTTGTAAGTGACTTGTCTGAGGCCGGCCACCTCTGGGTGCCAGAGTTGGGGCTCCAGCAGGTCCAGCGGCCTGAGCAGAACCGCAGTAGAGCACCCATGTCTCCGCATCAGAGCAGAGCCAGAGGGCAGGTCCCTGAGCCTGGCCTTAGCCGGGAAGGGGTCCATCAGCCACTGAGTTTTACTTTTTCAGTGCTGGGATTGAACCCAGCCCTTTTCTCATTTTGAGACAGAGCTCCCTAAATTGCCAAGGCGGCCACTCAAATTGCCCCCACTCTGTGCATCTGTGAATAATCTCCTCCTCTAAGCAAATATTGGTTTGGGGTTACACATAAAATTTAGCGAGGGGTGAATTTGCAAGTAATCTGCACGTAGTGGGCGCCAACTGTTTGCATCAGTTCTTCCCATCCGGCCCTGGAGCCCTCCCCAGCTTGCTGGCCAGGTCCAACCTATGGGCACTGGTCCTCAGGTGCCTGGTGGGCAGTCACATGGGGGGTACTGAAGCTTAGTAGAGGCTTGTCCAGAAAATGACCAAGTACACAGGTGCTGGAGCCCAGGGACTCATGCACCAGCTGCTACTGAGCTACGTCCCCAGCCCAACAATTTTTAATGTTCGTCAATAACGTTTTCTATATATCTACTACATGTCCACTGCAGGCAGTTTGTGAATTATACAAGAAACCAAAGAGAGCAAGTGCTTCACCCACTTCCTCTTTCAGAGGTGGACTAAGCCGCACACCCTGGTGGTCTCCTTCTCTCTGGAAGGCAGGTGCAGCAGCTATCTGGGGGCACACAGCTCCCTTTGGAGGGCACGGGAGCTGCCGACTGCTCTGCTGGGGCAGCGCAGGGGCTTCTGGGCTGTGGGCTGCTCTGGAGGGAGGTCTGGCCTGGCCGCTCCTCTCCTGGGCCTCCCTGGCAAGAGCTGGAGGTGCGAGGGGCCGCAGGGTCTCGGGGCTTACCACTCCAGGCTGGACAGGTGGGGAGGCACTGACAAGGCACGGCCACTTCCTGTAACCTGCCAGACACCCTAGCCCATGTGACTTGTGTGACCCTGGCCTCTCGTGCTGTGCCACTCCTGGGGCCCCAGCTGCCATCTCTAGGTCCCGCTCCTGCTCCTGAGCTGTGGGTCACCTCCGGACTCTTCCACTCCTCCCAGCAGTGGTTGCTCTTCAGTCTGAGCGATCCCCATGGGAGGGCCCGAGTCTGGGGTGGGCAGTCTTCTCCCAAATCGTGAGTTGCAGGACTGGCTTTGCCTGGGAACAACTTTTTGGACTAAAGTACAAAATCACCAGTTAGAAAAGTCTGACCACAACTCTGGTGGGCCTAGTCACTCAGAAGAGAGGCTACAAGACCTCAGGAGCAGCCTCAACGTGGATCAGAAAAGGAGAGAAGCCAGGTGTGGTGGCTGAGAGGCTGGGGCAGGATGTTCAAGAGTTCGAGGCCAGCCTCATCAACTTAAGGAGGCCCCAAGCAACTTAGCAAAACCCCATCCTAAAATAAAAAGTAGAAAGGGCCGGTAGCTCAGCAGTCACACACCTCTGGGCTCAGAGCCCCACCTCCAGGGAGCCCTCCATGGACAGGTCCCCTCCCCGCCAGCAGCTGCACACTGCTGCAGGTCACAGCAACCTGAACTGGCTGGGCCACAGGCCCTTGGCTCTAGCTGGACTCACAGTGGAGAACACCTGGCTGTAAAGATGCAGGGAGTCCATGTGTGCGTGCGGGACAGTGGCGTGCACCTGGCAGTCGCTGTTCTGGTGGCCTGAACACATCCCTAGCCCAAGGACGCGGCTGTGGGTGGAGATCCTCATGTGAGGGGGGAAGAAGGGGCCACCCAATCCCATGTCGGGAAGCAAGTGCCAGCTGGCCACACCTCCACTCCAGCAGCCAAAGCAGATGTACTGGGACACAGGGGCCGCCCTCTTGTGGAACCGCTGTCCGGGCGACTTCAGAACTTACTGTTCTCCTCCCAGGCTTGCTGGTAATTTTTTTTCTTTTGGTATCGGGGATTGAACCCAGGGGCGCTTAAGCACTGAGCCACACCCCCAGTAGCCCCTCCCCTCCCCCCTTAGAAATATACTTTATTTAGTAACAGGGTCTCGCTGAGTTGCTGAAGCCTTCACCAAGTTGCCGAGGCTGGCTTTGAATTCACCATCCTCCTGCCTCAGCCTCCTGAGCCACTGGGATTACTGGTGTGTGCCACTGCTCCTGGCTCCTGAGGCTGGTAACCCTTGACCCAGATGTCCTGGGTGTGCCTTGCTCTGCTCCCCAACTCTGACCTGCCACATGGTGTGGCTCCCTGCCTTTCACACAGCTGCTCCAACGCACAGGGGCTGGGTCCCAGGAACCGATGGCAAGGTGTAAATATCCCGAGTGGAAAAAGCATTTAATGCAACACATGGGCCAGCACCCTGGCTTGGCAACGCAGCTAGGAGCCCAGGGTCCCCCACATCAGATCCCACAGCTGCCTGAGCTGTGGCGTCATGGCCCAGGTCTGGGAAAGGGATGGTGTTCTAAGTGTAAGGCAGGCTCCCAGCACAGGACACACGCTTTCACCCCACGTAAGCACCTAAGCTGACCCATGGCTAGCGAGCGTACACCCTCTGCACACGTCCACACATGCCCACCGGCGGCCATCCGTTCTCAGCCACCCGCACGTGGGAGTGCACACCTGTGCAGACGCACACAAGGCAGTTGCTTGGAGACGCGCTGAGAGGGCAGCTAGAGCGCCTGGGGCCAGGCCTGAAAAGCTCTCGTCAGAGCCTGAAGGGAGCCGAGCTGGGCAGGAGGGTGGCTGTGGGGAGGACTGCAGGGCCGAGCTGCCACCTGCGGGTGTCCACTGAAATAGGAGCCCAAATGAGCACGACGGGAGGCTGCACTCCTGACGCCGGGGCTTCCTGACTGTGGCTGCGTTAGGAACCCTGGCCAGGGCAGGAAGGACAGAGCTCCGTTGGAAGACCTGAGTGTCCAGCAGAATGGGGAAGGGCATCCTGAGGGCCCCAGGGGAGGCCAGCCCTGGAGGCTCTTGGCTGCAAGTGCAGCTTTACGGAGAACACGCCCTGACGCTGGCCCCAGGCCCTACCGAGCGGTCTGTGTGGGGAGGGTGCCCATGAGGCCTACAGGGAAAGCCCCCTCACTTGCCCACAGTCCTCCTGGAGTCCACTCCTGAGCATCCTGCCTGCCTAGCCCTTCTGCAGGTGAGCAGGGAGGCCATAGCCTGGGAGCCTGGGTGTCCAGATGCTGGGCAGAGGTCCCTCCCTGCAGGCGTGATGCTTGGGCTGGGCTGGGGAGGTGCCTGTGGGCCCAGCAGCACCACCCTCCTCCCATCACTCCTCCTTCCATCCCTGGGCAGCCAGGGCACGGGACTTGGTGGTCCTCGCTCATCCGAGCACCTGGCCCCTGAGACTGCTGAGAGATTGCGGGAGGCCAGCAGAGCATCTGCCCAGCACCTGTACTGGTGGCAAGAGGAAGCCAACCAGGCCCACCTGGGGGCAGCCACCAGGAGTCCTCAGTCACCGAGAGGTGAGGTCACCCCTCCTCTGCAGGGGACACCAGTCCGTGTCTGGGTACAGCAGACAGTGCACAGACTTAAACCTGCGAAGGAAGAAATCGAAGTCAAGACTGTGGGCCAACACGGGCCCCGGGGGCCCAAAGCCCTCCACCTGCTCACCGTGTGGGGTCTTGCTGCAGACTGAAGCCTCCAGCCACGTTCACCACGTTGTGTGGGTTCTCGGGACCCCCGTAGCTTAGGGTGACCTGGGAGAACAGGAAGCAGACAGGAGGGCCAGCCCTTTCTCCTCTACCCCTACCCCGGGGAAGATGCACAGGGACTCTTTACCTGATGACCTTGTGCCCAGTAACAAAATGACCTGGCCAGGGTCCCCCCCTGACCACACAGAAGTGCCAAGGCTGAGCCCTGTACTCCTGCTCAGCTGGGAGAGCACCTGGGTGATGGGCTGGCCAGCCAGGGTGATGGAGGAGGGTGGGGCAGGCCCAGGGGCAGGAGCGCCCACTGAGGCGCCAGGGAGCCCAGGGCCTACCTGCTGGAGCACGGCCTCGGGCGGCAGCCTCTGCAGGTTCTCCAGGTGGGAGTGGAAGAGGGGGCTGTGCAGCAGGCGAGCACCCAGCAGCCCCTCCACAATATAGCCCACTGTGCAGTCATCCGGCAGCCGCACCCGCTCAGCAGTGCTCATGAAGCTGCCCAAGCTGCGGGGAAGGCTGGTCAGCTGCTTCAGCCCTCACCCCAGTCCCACCGCCTCCCAGCACCAGCAGCTGGGCCCCTACTCACCTGGCCCACGGGCTCATCTTGAGAGCAAGGCCCCTGCTCAGGCAAAACCCGGCCCCACCAGTGGCAAACCAGAACTTGCCTGTGGTCACCTGGAGACAGGAAGCTCTGGTCAGACTGCCCAGGAGAGAGCTCCTCAGCCCTGACCCCCAGCGCCATCCTCAGGCCATCTGCCCCACCACGTACAGTGCCGCCTCCAGGAACCCTCTCAGTGGCCTCGATGGGGTGGTCCAGGCTGGGCCTCCCCAGGTAGACATCCTGGCTGGGAGAGAAGGCCGACAGCAAATGCAGCAAGCCCTCGGGGTTCACGTAATTGTCATCATCCACGTGGCAGAACCACCTGCAGGGAGGGCAGTGGTGTACACGGGGCTGGTGGCCGAGGGGGCCCCCACCATTCACCCTGGGTTCCCTGGGGGAGCGGGGAACACCACCGCCTACTTGCGACCTGACTCGATGAACTTGTCGTACTCGACGGACATCTTGCAGCAGAGCGCCTGGCGGGTTCGCAGCGCCGAGCAGTTGGTGTTGACGACGCGGCCGCCTGCTGAGTTGGCAGAGGGGAAGTGGAGGGTGGACGCCCAGCCTACCCCTGAGGTCGAGGCCAGAGCGCGGTGCCCGGCCGCCCGGCCCACGTCCAGCTGCAGCCCGAGCTCGGCCTCGCTCAGCTGGGACTGAACACACAAGCGGCCCTTGGGAGTCCAGCAGCGGAAACGGCTCGCGGAGGGGCAGCCCTGACCAGACCTGAAAGGGACGTTCCCTGTCGGGCAGAGGACGTGGCACTGGCCAGGGGTCCCGGGAAACCTAGCAGTGGCAGTGGCAGTGGCGGGGGAACAGAACCTGGCCGGCAACACGGGGCCCCGGGCGCTGGCCGGCGGGTGGGCGTCCTGGCTGTTCCCTCTGCTGGCGTGTGACCTGGCCAGTGCCTCAGCTCCTGCCACGGGGCGGCTGGGGCTGGACCCTTCGAGGGACGCGCGACACCCGGCGACGCGCGGCAGCACCGACGCAGGGCGCGCTCACCTCCCAGCAGCTGGAGCTCGGGGTCGTCTCCGTCGGTGAAGATGAACGTCTGCGGGAGAAAGGAGCCGTGAGGCGCCCGCGCCCGGGGCCCGCGCAGGCGGGCGCGCAGGTGCGGCGGCGAGCCGAGGGCGCGGCGGGGCGCGCACCTGCCGGCGGGCCCGCGAGATCCAGGTGCGCAGCAGCAGCCGCAGGCGCGGCCCGTGGTTCTTCCGGGTGGTCTTGACGGCGATGAAGACGTCGTCGGGCCGCAGGCGGGGAGCGGCGCGGGTCGGGCCGGGGCCCGGGGCCGGGGCGGGCGCGTGTGGCAGCGGCAGAGGCAGCGGCAGCAGCAGCAGCGCGGCCAGGGCCGCGGCCAGCGCGAGGCAGGCCCGGCACAGCGCGCCCCGCGCGCGGCTCATGCGGCCGCCGCGACCCCGGCGCCGGGGACCGGCTTGCGCGGCCCACGGCCCCTTTAAGAGTGGCCCGCGCCCAGCCCCGCCCTGCGACCCGGAAGCGGCAGCCGCGTCGCCCCGGAAGTGGACGGCGCGCCGCGGAGGGGTGGTGGAAGATGCCGCTGCCGGTTCAGGTGTTTAACCTGCAGGTGATGAGCCGAGGCCGCGCCCGCGCCCTCCAGGCCTGGGGCCGCGAGGAAGGCGGGAGGCCGCGGGCAGGACGGGAGGTCCCGGGGAGGACGAGGAGGCCCCGGGGAGGACGAGGAGGCCCTGGGAAGGAGGGCGGGAGGCCTCGAGGGCGATGGAGCGGCCGCGGGGAGGACGGGAGGCCGCGGGGAGGACGAGGGGGGCGGGAGGCTGCCGGGCTGAGGCTCCGCGCGCAACGTGGACCGGCCGCGCGGGCTGCGCACGACCCGGCCCCTCCTCCGCCCTGCGCCAACGCTCCTCGGCCGGCGGCCGGGCGGGCTGCGGTCAGGTCGCGATGCCGGGCAGCCCTGCGCCCAGCTCGGCCTCCTCGTCGGCGTCCGACCTGCGGCCTGGCACGGCCGGGGACTGCAGCCTGAGCGTCAGCCTGTCGGCCTGCACGCTGCTCTCCGAGGTGTCCGCCAGGCCCTGCCCTCCCCGCGGGCCCTGCGCCACCCGATAATCCCTTTCTCCCTCCCCCTGACGCGGCCCTCACCTCCGTGTGGCTGTTCAGGACAGAGCCTCTGGGGGTCCTCCTGCCTCTGGGGAGAAGGCGGTGGCTGGGAACACAAGCCCACCCGATGTCTGCTTTCCCCCTCAAACCTGGGCAGCCAGCCAGCCAAGGGGTTTCTTTTGAGCTCCGTCGAGCAGGGGCTGGGGAGGGCAGCACTGGTCGGGGAGTGGTGCGCTGTTTTGAAGGACCTGAGAGCTGAAGGTGCCTAAGATGCCTGACCTATGTTACAGGGGGCTGTGGAGCCCATGCAGATTGATGTGGACCCCCAGGAGGATCCCCAGAATGCGCCTGATGTCAACTACGTGGTGGAGAACCCCACCCTGGTACAGAGCCCAGCCGGCGAGAGGCCTTCGCAGTCCTGCTGGGTGTCCAGGCCAGAGTCCCACTGCAGTCTGCTCCCTAGGCAGACCGATGCTTTTCAGTGACTTTTCTGGTCTTTCTCTGAACTGGGACTCTTCAGCTTTCCGTCACTCATTTATGTTGGGTTCTCGGCCTAGCCTGACATCCTGCACCCACTTCTCACCCACCTGGAGTAGCCCTGACTGTTGAGTCTCATCTCCAGGGAGACTCAACCTGTTAAATGCCGTTGGCTGCTCAGTCCAGTCCAGTACTAATAAGTGCCATGAGGTGCAGAGCCCTACCATGGGGTCTCCACCCACCCAGTGGTCTCAGCACCACCAGGTCCAGTGCCTGTTGTGGGCAGTCAGACTTCTCTGTCTGCTGTCCCTGGGCTTGGGATATGGGACCTTGCCTTATATGCACTGTCCGACCCTCTGTTTGCTTTCCTCTCACACCTGTGCTAGGATCTGGAGCAGTATGCAGCCAGCTACAGTGGGCTGATGCGCATTGAGCGGCTGCAGTTCATTGCTGACCACTGCCCCCCACTGCGGGTGGAAGCCCTGAAGATGGCCCTCTCCTTCGTGCAGAGGACCTTCAATGTGGATATGTATGAGGAGATACATCGGAAGCTCTCGGAGGCCACCAGGTAAGGCCAGGGCCTTGGTAAAAAAGGCGTTTGTGGTGGGAAGTGTCCGGGGCTGGATGTGGTGTGCCCCCTGCTTGGGACTGGCCTGGATGGGGGGGCCTTCCTGTGCTCCTGCCATGCCCAGTGTCCTAGCTGTGCAGTGACACAGCAGCAGTCCCGCACGTGATAAGCAGTGCAGGGGCAGGCTGCGCAGGCCCTGCTCATTGTTGGATGGCATTGTTGAATGCATGTGTCCCAAATCCACACACCAAGGTGACCCCTGCCAGCATGTGATTGGGACAAGCCACTGTGTTACCTCTCCGGCTGAAGGAGCTGCACCTGCCTGCATGTTCCAGGGGAGCCCATGGAGCTAGTCCTCTCCTGGAAGCCACTCCCCTGGCCAGGTCTCCCCTCTCAGCCGAGGGCTCCTGGGTCAGCAGTTGTCCCTGTGCTCCTGGTACAGGTGGCCCTTTAGCTGGGGTTGGGAACGAGCCTCTTGAGGGCTTGTCTGTGGCTGGCAACATCCGCCCACCTCATTGGCCCCTGTGACCGTCGGCGTCCTGATGGCCAGGTCCTCCCTCAGGGAGCTGCAGAATGCCCCCGATGCCATCCCTGAGAGTGGTGTGGAGCCCCCACCTCTGGACACAGCCTGGGTGGAGGCCACTCGGAAGAAGGCCTTGCTGAAGCTAGAGAAGTTGGACACAGACCTGAAGAACTACAAGGGCAACTCCATCAAGGAGAGCATCAGGTGCTGGCCTGCCCAGGGAAGGGGGTGTCTGGGCCCAGCTGGCCCCCTGCTGTGTCCACTCACAGCCAGGTCTACAGGCGCGGCCACGATGACCTGGGTGACCACTACCTTGACTGTGGAGACCTCAGCAATGCTCTCAAGTGTTACTCCCGCGCCCGAGACTACTGTACGAGTGCCAAGCATGTCATCAATATGTGCCTCAACGTCATCAAGGTGGGCCTGTGGCGGGCAGGGGGCAGCACTGGATAGCCAGGAGGTGGCAGCCCAGGCTCAGTGTGGCCCTGCCCCTTGTTCTCCAGGTCAGTGTCTACTTGCAGAATTGGTCTCATGTGCTGAGCTATGTCAGCAAGGCTGAGTCTACCCCAGAGATTGCTGAGGTAGGGCCCACCTCCTTGGAGACCCTGCTGTGGGAGCCTGACCACTACCCTTTTGTTTTCATTCCCCTCTCAGGCTGGGGCTGGGGCCTGGGCCCCGGGCTCCCCAGATGAGGAGGGGAGGGGCGCAGCCCTCTTATGCACGTGGCTTTCCCCTGCAGCAGCGTGGAGAGCGGGACAGCCAGACCCAAGGCATCCTCACCAAGCTCAAGTGTGCTGCAGGTGAGGCCCTCACCACCCAGAGGGTGCCAGGCCTGAGTCCCCACCCCTGGGGCAGGAATGGCCCCGTCTCACAGCTGGAAGTTATTGGAAGGCTGCAGGGCACTGTTGAATGCATGTGTCCCAAATCCACACACCAAGGCGACACCTGCCAGCATGTGCCTGGGACAAGCCACTGTGTTGCCTTTGGCAGCCCAGCTGGTGTCTCTGAGCCTGGGTGTCTGATGCAGGCAGCAGCAGCAGTTCAAGGCCCTGGGCACCTGGCCTGAGGAGGCATATCTGGAGTGTGGAGTTACTTCTGCTTCCCAGAAGTAACCTAGACTGTCTCTAGGTTGGGGGGCACCACTGATGGCCAGGCCCTCTTGGCAGCTCCAGGCAGCCTAATTCCGCCACCCTCTCCCTCACTGCCCCTTCTCTAGGCTTGGCCGAGCTGGCTGCACGCAAATACAAGCAGGCTGCCAAGTGCTTCCTGTTGGCCTCATTCGATCACTGCGACTTCCCTGAGGTGAGGGCGTCCAGATCACATCATTGGTCTTCTCTGAATGGGGTCCTAGGTGTTCTCTTGAGTAGGTGATGGGCCAGGTCATCAGTGAACCCATCTCCCTTTATGCCCCTCAGCTACTTTCCCCCTGCAATGTGGCCATCTATGGAGGTCTGTGCGCATTGGCCACATTTGACCGGCAGGAACTGCAGCGCAATGTCATCTCCAGCAGGTGGGTGGGGTGTGGGGCCCTTCAGCCTTGTGCCTGGGGAGTGGAGCCCTTCCAGCCCTCTGGGTAGAGAGGGCAGGTGGAGGTGTGGGGCTGAGCACTCTGACATCTGCAGCTCCTTCAAGTTATTCCTGGAGCTGGAGCCACAGGTCCGAGACATCATCTTTAAATTCTATGAGTCCAAATACGCTTCATGCCTGAAGATGCTGGATGAGATGAAGGTGAGGGGCAAGGTCCTGCCCTGCTGGCTGGATTCTGTCCAGCAAGGTCCCTAACCAGCTTTCCTCTGTAGGACAACCTGCTTTTGGACATGTACCTCGCTCCCCACGTCAGAACTCTGTACACCCAGATCCGCAATCGTGCACTCATCCAGGTAGGCGTAGGGCAGGCAGAGGCTGGTGGGGATGGACGTGCCCCAGAGTGGCAGGCAGCTGGTGCTCTCTCTGCCCCCACAGTACTTCAGCCCTTATGTGTCAGCTGACATGCACAAGATGGCCGCAGCCTTCAACACCACAGTGGCAGCACTGGAGGATGAGCTCACACAGCTCATTCTGGAAGGACTCATCAACGCCCGTATCGACTCGCATAGCAAGGTGGCTAGGGGGCTGTGGGGCCGAGGGTGCCTGTTGGGCCCCTATTGGGCCCCACTAAACCTGTTCCTACACAGATCCTGTATGCTCGGGATGTGGATCAGCGCAGTACCACCTTTGAGAAGTCTTTGCTGATGGGGAAGGAGTTCCAGCGACGCGCCAAGGCCATGATCCTGAGGGCAGCTGTGCTGCGCAACCAGATCCACGTCAAGGTGAGCAGCTGGGGGCATCAGGGAGCGGGCAGCACCTGTGCATCCCCTGGCTGAGCTCTCTCCTGTCCACTGCAGTCCCCTCCCAGAGAAGGGAGCCAGGGGGAGCTGACTCCGGCCAACAGCCAGTCCCGGATGAGCACCAACATGTGAGGGGCACCCAGCGGCCTCCAGGATGGTTTGCACACCCCTTCCCTGCCCCCTTGGACATGCTCCTGGGCTTCCTGCCTGCTTGCCTTGAGGAGCTTGAGCAGCCTGACTTCTGGGTGCCACTCCTGAGCTTCTAGCCAGGCTTCTATGTGTCCCTCCACCTGGCAGGACTCTGTGCTAGGGCCTAAGGAGGCAGACAGGGTGCCTACGATGGCCACAAAGGACCGACCTCATGGGCTTCCATGCCCAGGGAACAGACTCCATGCAGTGCCCAGGCTCCTGCCTGGCAGCACGGTCTCCCACACC